GTGTGTGTGTGTGTGTGTGTGTGTGTGTGTGTGAACACACCTCCAGGATTGGGCGCTCGTCTGCAGAAACAAAAAGGTAAAGTTAACAATGTTTTAAATTTAGTTTTTCTTGTTCAGGGCAGACTCTGGAGTTCCTCAGGGCTGAGTGTTTAGTCCTTTTTTTGTTGTTGTTTTTTTGTGTGTGTGTGTGTCACAAACATAAGATTGTTTGTTCTGCAACCTTTCATTTTGTGTTTAGTTTTGGTGAAAAAATGAACTAAATGTTATTTTAATGAATTAAAGAATGGATGAATGAGGACATTAATGAACATCTTCTGTATAAATTGAGTCTGATCAGAACTTCTGAGCCCAGCTGAAGTGTGGAAGTGGTTCTAAAGCTGCTCTCAGCCCTCTTGGTTCTGTTGGGTCACACTGGACCGGTTCTGACCCAGCAGCCCTCTTGGTTCTGTTGGGTCACACTGGACCGGTTCTGACCCAGCAGCCCTCTTGGTTCTGTTGGGTCACACTGGACCGGTTCTGACCCGGCAGCCCTCTCAGTTTCTCTTTCAGCCCCTGGTCGTGTGTTTGTGCCAGGAGCAGCTGGTCCTCCTCCATCTGGACCGGTGTTCCTGACCTGCTGCCCAGCGCCGCAGGATGCCCCGCCCCCGAGCCGTGGCTCCTCCCCGGCTGCAGCTCGGTCTACGACAGCCTGGTCRGGTAGGCTCACCTGGACCCTCTCAGGAGGTCTCCAGACCCAGAGAACTTTTACAGAAACCTTCTGTGTTTGCAGCACCTCGCCCCCCGTCCCCTCTCCTCCTGCTGCCAGTGGGCCCAGAGGACGGGAACGAGCCGGAACCAAGACCCGCAGGTGTGGGTCCAAACACGAGGACTGCCGGTCCAGGACTAGATTTAGATCTTTGTAATGATCAAAGTGGTCCTGATGAGTGGTCTCTGCTGGTCTGTTGTAGGCCGTCCATCTTGGAGCGCTGCATCCTGAAGGTGTCCTCCAGCAGCGTGGCTGTGGGGACGGACGATGTGGACAACAGGAGGTACGGGACCAACCTTGTCCCACCAAGAACTGAATCTGAAGGTTCACAATTTAAATGTCACTCAACTGAACCTGAATTTAAAGGTTTGAATGAATTTTCTTTGAAACTGAATTTTATTTATTAAAAATTCAGTTTGAATTTAGTGAAATTTAAGTTCAGATTCAGTTCCTGGTGGGACAAGGTTGGTCCCAGTCTGTGGGCTGGAGAGGAGCAGGTGGTCCAGAAGGTCCAGACCCATCTGGACCACCTGGACCTGCTGTGTAGAGACAGGTGGAGGTGTGTCAGGGTCACAGAGACCTGCTGACCCGTCTGTGTCCTGCAGGTCTTCGTACGCTCGCTGCTACTCCCGCCTGCCGGACCCGGTCCACACCGAGACCAACGGGGCGGTTCTGAAGAGGCGCCAGAAACAGATCCAGTACGGCAAGAACACCAGCGGCTACCAGAACTACCTGCAGCAGGTCCCCAAGTGAGGACCCCTGAGACCCCACACAGCACCTGAGGTGTGAGCTAAGCCCCGCCCCCTGACCAGCTTCTCTCTGATCTCTCCTCAGACACCTGAGGGACCCCAAGCTCCACCCCTCCACACCCAACAAGTACAAGAAGTACAGCCGGCGCTCCTGGGACATGCAGGTGCGCCTGTGGAGGCGGGCCCTGCACCTGTGGGACCCTCCCAGCAGCGACCAATCRGACGCCGTCAGCACACCTGACCCGGTGGAGCAGCTGTAGGTGGAGCCTCACCTGTCCGTCAGCTCCAGGTGGTCCTCCTCATTAAGATCAGCTCTGTGTCTTCAGGCAGAACCAGCTGGCCCAGATGACATCGGACCTGTGTGAGGACGGAGACGAGCAGAGAGAGGAGCCTCCTGCAGCCTCTAGAGCCTCCTCAGAGGAGGGTCCAGGAGCCTGGACCGTCCCCCCGTCCCCGGTACTACACCTGTCCTGAACAGGTCCAGGAGTCTGGACCGTCCCCCCGTCCCCGGTACTACAGATACACCTGTCCTGAA